AATATTTTTACAATCTACATTTCTCAATGTCTCCTTTTTTTATGGCATGTGCACCAAACACATCCTAACGATATTCTAAATAATCATGTAGAGCGCTCTATGAGAAAACCTGCCTATTTCATGCCTACATTGAGCCCCAAATATCATAAGTCATGAAAGCAAACATGAATTAAGCAATTTGGAAAGTCACTTGAAGATGTCATATGGCCCCTATTAGTTCTTTATAATCCTGATATACTCTGGTGTTTTCAAAAACTCTAAATTTGGCTAACTTTAGTACTGAGTGTGAGTCTGAACAAAACTCACTTTTGGTTAAAAATACTTATTTTTGAGCAACTTTCTATATTAGATGAAAAAAACCTCAAACTGTACACAAAGAAAGGAAGACTGACAAGAAGCCATTGGACTACAACAGAAAGTACATATAGCAACACCAACAGAAGAATGTAAGGGTAATTCATAGCGTGGAGATAAGAGGGGAGATAAGATGGGGAAAGGAAGAAAACAAAAAGAAGCATGAGTGGAACAGGAAAGAATAGGCTAACAATCTTGAGGAACAGTGAAGAAACTATGTATAGAATTTGGTTTCACCCTATAGCTAATTCGAAATCCTGCATTGATTCTGTTTCTATGCATTTTCTATCTTGACCCATTTTTGTTACCGAAGAACTGTTCATTGTAAGAACTGGGTTTAATGTACACAGACTGAAATCTTGCATAGATCGTGTTGGGTATTATTTTCATGGCACTTTTAATGTTGTGTTCCCATTATACTATGATTATATTCAATAACATTTAGGCTCCTTTTCATGTGAGTATCCCCAGTAAAGATGTGCTTGTGTCTTGTTGTTCAGTAATGTTTTGTTCAGTAAAACCCTATTAGAGCACATTCAGTGAGTCAGATAAGAGCACTATACACCATAAATAATTGAATGTGTTTTATTTATATGTCACATTTACTTCCTAACTCTACTCTGTGAAGGAAAGTCATACTACAAAGTCTGTAGGATATGAATTATATTTGTTGTCTACATCTGTAGTTTCAAACCCAGTCTTCAGGGAATACCACCAATCCAAGATGTAGACATTGTACAATTCTCTTCCTATGGTGATGCTGACAAACTCAATGTGCTTTCAGGACAATGCCTTCTTGAACTGTACTGTAAACTAAAATTACTCTTAAAGGGAAACTATAGTTTATACACTTTAGCTCCCTATAGAGCCAACTATGTCAAACCCCACCCCCCCATAGTTCAGAAGGGTTAAAAACTCCTTTTGTCACTTACCCGAGTCCAGTGCGGATGTCCTCAGCACTGGCTCGGGCCCCACCTCTGCTATACAGCATGCATAAAGAAAGTTTCCTTATGTACAGCAGTCAAGATGCTTAAAGTAACCTTAAAGTAAGGTTCTATTGCCGTAGCAAATCCAATTTACTTGCAAGTCCTCAGTAAAATCAGTTGCACAGAAGCAAAAACAGCAGGCATCATGGAGAGAGGAGAACAAAATGGCTGTAGCCTGGAATTGAGAGCCAGCACAAGTAAGAAGAAATAGTAAATATAAATAAAGACAAGTGCCAAGGAGGGGTGTATAATCATTAAGAAACAGGGGCATAGGGAAAGGAAAATCAACACACAATGAAAGGACAGCTTTAATGGGTTACAAGGTTAGATATCACTGTCCAAATAGTTAGAATCAGGTCACAATTGTTTTAATCATTTACACATTCACATTTGACTTGTTTTCATGTATTAAAACAGGTTTTATGAAAGCAAGAGAAATGGATGTCACCGTTGCTTTAAAATATTGTATACAATATGATAATATCTGATAATGTACAACACCAATGCATAAACCATTTTCAGTGAATATATTTACAGGTAATAATGTATACAAATAATGTAAACACTCAAGCATCACAGCTCCAAAGCACTTCTAATTTGTGATTTACATTTGTATTTGTTTTAGGATGTTTAAAGAATAAATGTATTTATGTTCTTTTGATGAAGCTAAAATTTATAGTTGACGTAGCACTGTCTCTGAGAAATAAATTGAGTAATTTTATGAGGCAAGTGACATTTATTGTCAATTGATCTATCACTGTACACACATAAAAGGAAAATCCTATTTCTGCACGTTTATCAGATGCTCTGCAGCACTTACAAGCGCACTCAGAGAAAATAAACACAGTCCATTACCATATAAAGTAACGGCAGACACACAAAAAATTGAATAAAATTTTCTTGGGAACAAATATGTTCAATAGGGACATCAATGCATTGTATAATCAAAAAAAAGAGCTTGCATGGTACTTCTGCAGATCAGAAGAACTTAATCACGCAGAGATATGACTCATATAATAATAACCCGATTTAATAAATTTACTTTGAAATGTGCCACTGCTAATTGTTGACATCTGCATAAGGACATGTAATTGTTGTTGACTATATCAGGGCTTGACCTGTGTGACACCTCGGGGTGTTACATCCTTGCGATGACACTTTTATTTGCTGTAATTTCTACATGGACTGTTGTGTCTCTGTTTCAGTTGTGCAGATTGCTGTAATCTGAAGTCAATATATTATGTCCACTACCAAGTTCATGTGGATCTTGGCACAGATGTGTACATCCTTAAAGGGACACTATAGTCACCAGAACAACTACAGCTTATTGAATTTGTTCTGGTGAGTAGAATCATTACCTTCAGGCTTTTTGCTGTAAACACGGTCTTTTCAGAGAAAATGCAGTGTTTACATTACAGCCTAGTGATAACTTCACTGGCCACTCCTCAGATGGCTGTTAGAGATCCTTCCTGGGTCATGGCTGCCTAAAATACATCCAAACATTCAGTGTCTCCTCCCTCTGCATGCAGACACTGAACTTTCCTCATAGAGATTCATTGATTCAATTCATCTCTATGAGGAGATGCTGATTGGCCAGGGCGGTGTTTGAATCATGCTGGCTCTGCCCCTGATCTGCCTCCTTGTCAGTCTCAGCCAATCCTATGGGGAAGCAATGTGATTGGATCAGGCTACCACTTCTGTTGATGTCAGCAGACTTCTTGTTTTTCTGAGGCAAACAGGATGCAGAGTTACAGCTTCAGGCTTGAATACAGTAAGATTTTTACTATATTTATGGAGGCATGAGGGGCCCAGGGGGGCTAGATGGTGGTTTTAACACTATGGGGTCAGGAATACACGTTTGTGTTCCTGACCCTATAGTGATCCTTTAAAATTATATCACATAATCTTTCTTTACCTCGTGCGTTTTTATCTATGGTGGCAAAATATGGATGCCAACTCCAGAGGAAAAACTCAGACCCCCGCAGCAATGAAGAAGACGAGTAATGCTTACAGTAAAACTAAAATTGTCATAGGAAGCTCCTTCAACCTACTAAAGTAAAAAAAAGGCATCATTGCATTCCTCAATACTCTGCTTATTTTGGCATTGTATATTTAGCGGCAGAGTTAGAGAAGCTTTCTATGTCATTAGCAGGTAGGAGCGCTCTATATTCCCAGCATGATAGGGTTAATAGGTGGAAGTCAGCCCTTTCAGGTGACTTTAATTAACCTGTATTGCAATATTTAAAGGTCAGCCTTTGAAAGCAAGAGGGAGTCTGACAACTGGGAGAGGAGAGGCAGTTAAGCCTGAGGCCCCGAGACTCTAAGGAAAAGCTAATCACAGCACGTTTGAACACACAGGCTTCTAAACAGCCTATGTGTTCAAACTTGCTGTTATTATATTATATTATAACTGGGAACTGAATTAGCCGGCGAGTTGGACAGTTAGGAAATCGAATGTTTAGTTAGAATGAATGGAGTAGGATTTGTTTTCTTTTGTTTTATTTGTCACTGTGAAGCACAGCTCTGTGTTTGTGAAAAGCTATAATAAACCACATTTCTATTTTATCCTGACAAATGTATTTGGAGTTTCTTGCCAAGAGTCAGAAACCATCCTGCCACTATATATATATATACTGATGACAGTCCGGATATGGACAGACATCAATGTGATTTAACCTAATCTTGGTAAATAAAGACACATTTCTTTGATTAACAAGACCAATGTGTGTGTTTCTCCATGGATGTTTATGTTATTTGGCTGAAGGAGCACCCTGGCATATGTATCACAAATGCATGTTCAGGATTGTGGTATATGTGTGTATGTATATATATATATATATATATATATATATATATATATATATATATATAATTATTGTTTTCTTAATCATATTAGGACATTATCATGTTAGGACATAATCCACAGAGTAGGCTTTAATACCATTAGAACGGCATGAAACTCCTAATGTTTTGACATGAGCAGGGTTAAATAGACACTTGGGGTTCCCCTCTGTAAGCTGAACCATATTTACTGGTCTCCGACTGAGAGATGAGCTGTATACAACTCTCAAAAGAAAGCACTGCATACAGCCCTTCAACTTCTTTTAAATCTCTGTGGCTTGGCGAGTGCGCTCAACCACAGTGATTCTGAGCCTGTCCGCTAAGAGAGGAAATTCAATAGAATCAGCACTTTGTGACAGTTGAATTGCGTGCTAGCCCATGGACCTCCTAACAATAACTACTAATAGCAAAGAGAAAATAAATAAACCACAGCTCCAGATATGTCAGTGAAGGGGATTTTATTCCACCAAAGTAGATCTGGCAGGTTGACTTTGGCACTTTGGTGTAATAAAATCGCGCTCATTGACATTTAAGGTTGTGTCTCATTCATTTTATGTCTGCCAAGAGAGGGAGACCACCAGGGCCTGTAAAGTCCCTGACAGGGTCTCCCTGCATGTCGCCCTGCCAATTCTGATGAATGCTGGGCTTTGCTAGCTTCCCAACACCTTTAAAAGTGTGATCAGCAGGAACAGCATACAAGGGTAATCTCCCTCTTTTGCCAGTAGATGACGATCCCACACCACTGCTGTTTTAGCTAGGAAATCCCTATGCTGATGTCAGCAGAGGGAATTCCTCTCAATTACATTTAGGGTTAGGGTTGAGGATTGGCTAAGAATCAGGAGTAGGATTAAGTTTTAGGGTTAAGATAAGGTTATCATTGTTAGGGTTAATGTAGGTGAAGGGTTAATGCTGGGTTAGGATAATGTTGTTTTAGGCTTAGGGATAGGACAGGATTATCATGCTACTAGTGTCCCTAACTGCAAGTATAGGAAAGAAATAGAAAGAAGAATTACCAGAACTTGGAGTGGCTGGGCTTAACATGATTGACACCAACAAGGCACAATCTGTCTCAGCAAAACCAGTAAATGAGCCCAGGTCAGGATTCCAGAGAGCAGGTAGTCAGACAACCCAAGGTCAGGGCAAGAAGTGAGCAAGGAAGGCCAATGAACAAGGCATGTCAAGATCAGCAACACAGAAAACCACAATCTCAGAACCAAATGAACTGTACAGTAAGGACCATGAACTGGCAATGAGCGTGAGGTGAGTCGGGCCTTATTAAAATCTAGGTATAACTGTTACAAGGATGTGATTCTGCATGAAAATTAAGAGGCATTGTGGCATCAAAAATTTATTCAGCAATGCATTAATATTTCTAACAATAGAGTGTCAAAAAAGGGATGTTAAGTCTAAGTAAAAAAAACAATGCAGGCTTACATAAAAAAAAAAAAGAATTAAAAATGGGTGTGAAAGAGGAGTGTCCAGCAGTAACCAAGCCAGCAATGCAAGGTATTAATGTTAGGGAAGGTGTACAGTTAAAGTATGGTTGGTATAAGGTTGGAGGAGTTGGTATAGAATTAGAGTTAACTAAATAAAAAATTAAAATTAATTTAGATCCTTGACATATGAGGCACTTAACAGTCAGAACTGATACGTGAATCTATTTTGAGTACTTTGTCTTTAGTTGCACTTGATGTGGATATATTATTATAAGCAAAAATATGAAAAATTTGGGTGAGTGTTCCATTTATTTCCATTTATAACGATGTATTTGTACTTTATGTTGTTTTAGTTATATATAAATATTATATAGGATATTAACAAAAGCCCCTTTAAAAAAAAAAAAATAAATAATAAAAAAAAAATATATATATATATATATAATATGCATTGGTACCCATAAATAGAAAACACAGATTTGGCCTAGGGTGGTCATTCATATCCTGTTGGCCAGAAACAAATACTTCTGACTTTTTGGGGGAACATTTGCCCTTTGCTCCTCCTGGATCCGCCAATGCCCCCGTGAGAGTTCCTTTGTTTACTACACCAATGACTTTATCTGTTACATAATAAAGAGTTGACACTTATCATCCCTAGACAAAATTAGAAAAATAAACTGTCATGAACAATAACATCAACAGTAAATCGTCAGCCACACCTTTCATATAAAAATATAAATGAGTAAATTGACGCCTGGAATACGTGGAAAAAGAAGATGGAACTACATTTCTCAAGGAGAAGAGCTATAAAAACTATTCACAACCAGAACATATGAGATATTTAAATGATTATATGAAGATATATAATAGATGACAACAGTTAAATTATCTACATTATAACACATGTTAAGCAGAATGTTTTTGCAATATGAATAATAGGATGGGGCCATCCTCTATATGTGGTCGGAATATGAATGGATTAAAACCCTTCGGGATAATGTAATAAAAGCTATTACCTCAGTAATGCCTGTTAAGATCCAAGAGAGATCCCACATTGCTTTATCTCATGAAGAGATTTTAAATAAATTATTCATATATGCATATTGCTGATAAAATATTTATTACATGGATGTAAAAAAATATTCCTACTTGGATTATTATACAACAAATAGAACATATAAAAAACATGGAGCAATATTCTATAGAAGAAAATGCTGTGAACCATAATGTTGAATATATATACAATTTTGCCCCACTTGGCAAATATATATGTAATTAATGTAAATCCCTACTTACAACAGTATAATCACTAATTAAATCTGAATCCCATTGTCTCAGAATTTATGAAAAAAATACCATATTTTAGCTATCTATAAAAAGATATTTTAAAAAAATTTACATTTGATAAAAAATATATATATTGTTTTGAAATTTTTATATTAGTGTATAATATTATTAACAAACCAAAATAGATAATACTAAGAACAAGAGAATACTAAAATTGGATAAAATTTCTATTAGCTTGTAATCAGTGGTTCCTGCTTAGTTCTCAAGCTGGTTGCAACATTTGTACCATTATTCACTTATTAATCCAGACAATGACTCAAGCAAGCATCAAACCCCATAAACAAATAATTTAAGGAACACTCATGAGATAAAAATAAATCTATTTATTTTTAAGTTAGCTGTGCTCCCATTTTAACCACTTAAGGACTTCATGACGGTCTATGCCATCACGCAGTGCATGGCTTTACCTGAAAGTCCGCTCTGCCAGTTTAGGCTGACATATAAGCTATAAGCAGTGCTCTAAGTGCTGCACATAGCCCTTTAACACATTTAGTTCAAATGTCACCAGTGTCAGTGTGACCCAAAGGGTATTAAAAGACCATCATGAGGTCTCCCTGCTGGCTTCCTGCTTAGTGATCGTTGCTGGGCTTTGACAGCTTTCCAGCACTGATCGCAGTTCCGTGAGCGGCAGCATGAGATGTAGATCTCCCCACCATGCTGCAATTACACAGTGTGAAAAAAACAAAACATTTGTGATGAAATGGTTAAATAAAAAATGTCAAAATGCTCTCAATTACATAATCTTGTTCATGTACTTTCTACAAATATATACATTTGTGTAGCAGTTTTGGATTCTGTGGGAAGTTTTAGTTTTAAAACTGTAATTTGCACCTTGCAATATTTGTTTTATAACTTCCAAAAATTAGTTGAAATCCTGGACATATTGGAAATATTAACAATCAAGACTACTTGGTGAATGTATTGAGTTTTCATTAGTTGCACTTGGTGTGTAAAAATTATTAAATGAAAACTGCAATTTAAAAAAAATATATATTTTATACCTATTTA